TGTGGTCGGTGAGGGGAGGGAAGGGGGGGGGAGGGGAGGGGGGGGGAGCGGAGGGGAGGGGAGGGCGAGGGCGAGGATTGCGGGGTACGAGGGAGCAGGAGGGTTGCGGCGGAGGAGCTCTTTGCAAAAAGGTAAGGGTGATGCCGTACCAACCGACACGCCCAACGCAGCAACCACCTGACGTCCAGTCCAAAGCTGTACTGCCCAGTTTTAACCCCCCCCAGATACCCCCCTGCCAGGTGGGAGAGCTCATCCCCAGTTTTAAGGTGGTGGGGCAATGCAGTGCTGCTGCGGCCGCTGCCACACCAGCCGCCTGCCACCACCCACCCTGAGCCAGTCCTTCATTTCTTCTTCATTCCCTCCTCATTCCGCCCCCACCACCTTCCTGCGCGACCGTCCAGCACCTCCAGCACCTCCTGCACCTCCTGCACCTCCAGCACCTCCTGCACCTCCAGCACCTCCTGCACCTCCAGCACCTCCTGCACCTCCAGCACCTCCTGCACCTCCTGCACCTCCAGCACCTCCTGCACCTCCAGCACCTCCTGCACCTCCAGCACCTCCTGCACCTCCAGCACCTCCTGCACCTCCTGCCTTGGGGCCGCCGGCAGTACCTCGGCGGTTGCGATGTTGTTCCGTCCGGTCCGGGTCTGGTCCGGTCCTCCGGGGGAGGGGTTTTAGGGTTTGTCAGGTCGTGTAGTGAATATAGTGAAGTAGTCATAGTGTCAGGGGTCGTCAACTACTGAGCGCTTCCTAAGCATGGCGGGCCCCCCCACATGTGTGTCTCCCGCCCTTCCTAACTCCCCTTGCCCGGAAAATCATGTTACCCCGGGTACTCCTCTTCCTCCGTTGCTGTGTGTTTTGACACAACGACGAATCCACTCGATCCGTCATTTTCGTCCCTTTTCGGTCCCAATGCTGCGCCCGCCACCCACCCACCCACCCGTTCCAGAGGTTGTGTGTGTTTTCCCCGGTCCCCTCGCCCTTTAGTTTTGCCGCGTCAGTCTTTTCTTGGCATCACCTTCACTCGCTCGTGGTTCGTCTCCCCCACCCCCGCCCGCCCCCTCGGCTGCATCAGTCCCTCCGGAAACCCCTTCCCTCCCGCTCCCCCAGGTTTGGGCCAACACGCTGTACGCGATGGGTCTCATGGACCACTACGACCCACGGGTCTTCCAGGCGCTCTCACAGGCGCTGTTCAAAGACAACAGCAATAGCAGTGGCGGTAAAAGCGATAGCAGCAGAAGCCCCGACGTGAACTCCCTCACCTCCCCGCCGCCGCAATCATCACCACCACCACCACAACCGCCATCACTGCCATCACCGCCATCACCACAGCTACCTCCCTCCTCCTCTTCCTCATCCTCGTCCCCATCCCAGCTCCTTCGCTTCGCCACGGCTCAGACGTGCGGTAATGTGCTGTTTGCCATGGGGGCTTTACGACATGTGGACGAGCAGATTATGGACGCGTTGTTGACGCGTATGCTTCAGATTGTTCGTGGTGGTGGACGGGGGGGTGGGGGAAGTGGGGGGGTGTCGGTGGTGGATTTGGCTCTGGCTGTCCGGGCGTGCGCTCATCTCAACTACAGGTCCTCGCTGTTGGACGAGCTGTTGGAGGCGGCCATGCCGGCCTTGAAGGTGTGTGCGGTGTGTGCGGGGGAGGAAGGGGGTGAGATGCAAAAAGGGGGGTGCAGTCCGGATGAGGGATTTAGGGCCGTTGTTTTCGGGAGTGATATGCGCATAAGCTACAACCCGCCACATAAATACACACACACGCACGCACACACACGCACACCACTATACTTTGCAAACCCCAACACTCCCCACTCCCCTCTCCCCTCTCCACCTCCCCCGCCCCCTCCCCTTCCCCCGCCCGCTCACGCACACACTCTGCCCCCCCCCCACAGGCTCAGGCTGCTCGCCTCATGGCCTACAACGTGCTATGGTCCATGTTGATCCTGGGTATACTGGGGGAGGTACGACATCAGCCGTTGGTTCAGTACCTGGTGAGCTGCGTCAACCGGTACGGCACAAGTACGTGGAAGTCGGCGGCTGACCCGTCATCGCCGTCATCGCCGTCAATTTCGTCATCGCCGCCACCTCCTAGTTCTGAGACGGCGGCGTACGACGATCTGACCCAGGTGGGTTATTACAGGAGTAATGTGGGTGTGTGGGCGGGTGGGCGGGTGGGCCCTAGGCTTGCTGCCTGGTTCAAGCCGGGAAAGGGTAAATCATGTTGTGGTGATGGGTACCGCATGTACGGGAGATGCAGAAGCGGATATCGCGTGATCCGCCTTAAGTGGTCTCTGCTTTCATAGCTCTGTACTAGAGCACTACCCGCCCTGACCCCCCGACTTCTTTAATCCCCCCCCGACCCGCCCTTCCTTACACGTTCTGTGTATCACCACCCCCTCTTTTTCTGTACCTTTTCCGCGAAAACACAAACCCGCCCCCACCCGCCCCCACCCGCCCTTCTTACTGAACCTCCCCGATTGTGTAAACCGCAGTTAGTGCAGTACCATTTGGAGAGCAGATATCTGGGCCTTACGGGGACAGCGTACGACTTAACGCCGCCGCAGGGCATGGATGCCTTGATACGGCAGATACGGGAGCGCCGGCAGCAGTTGGCCGCGCAGAGCAGTACCGTCGTACACCAGAAAGTGGTGGCCACACTGCAGGTATCGTGCCGTACATATATCAGATGATGAAATAAAATTGATTTATGTACGACACTGCAGGTCCCGAGTTGCAGCGGTGCTGTTTGGCCACTTTGGGCTGTCGTACTTAGGCATGCCGTACGAGGAAGGCTGTTACAGCAGTAAAGGGCTATATCTATGTGTTTGTCGTCTATCTCTGAGTTTAAGTTTAAGGGCTCTTTGTAAGTCCACCCCCCCCCTGGCAGGCAGATATCCTCCCTAACCGCCCACCCCCTGCGCCAACAGCCCCTCCCTAACTCCCTAACTGCGCATTTGACGCTGGGATAGTCGTGTAGTGTCGACGGATCTCAGAGTACCATTTCATGCTGCCGTACTGTCTGTCGTACAGGAAATGGCCGCCGCACCGAACTGCCTCACCGCTGGTGTACGGCACCCGCGCATCCTGGCAGTGGAGTCGGAAGTGCTGTTGGAGCCGGAGCTGGTGGTGGTGGACGTGTTGCTCACATTGGAGGCCGACCCAGATGCGAACTTGAATTCAAATTCAAATTCAAGTCCATTCGAGGCTTCATCTCCGGTAGCAGCTGCTGCAGCTCCTGCTGTTGCTGCAACCACTGCCGCTTTTGCTGGGAACAACAACAACAACAAGAACAACAACAACAACAACAACAGCAGTCCAACAGACTATGTCCCGTCATCTCCTCCTTCACCCTCCACCTCCTCCGCCACCTCCACCTCCTCCGCCCCGATCCAATACAAATTGGCGGTGGAGGTGGATGGTCCTCATCACTTCATGCGCAACCGACTCGACCATCAAGACGGCACATCGGCCTATCGGGACCGGGTGCTGCAGCGGCGCCTCGGGCAGCAGGCCGGCGGCGGCGGCGTCGCTGTCGTACGAACCAGGACGTGGGTGGAGCAGCTGCCGGATGACGAGGCCCGTCGGCGGTACCTGGCGGGGCTGCTGGCGGCCTCCGTGCCCCCGAGGTCGTGAAGGCCGTCAGTCTGTCAGTCTGTCAGTCCGTCAGTCCATGATGTGTGTGCCCAACTGCCGCTGTTACATGGGGTGGGGATATTGGGTGGTGCTCGTGGTGAAGTGCGTTGTCGCTAACCTCGAGGGCTAGTTGGCGGAGTAGGGGAGGGTCGCGGAGGATGGGAATGGTGGCTTCGGCCGCGCAAATGAGTGCTGGGTGGTGGGTGCTGAACTGGGTGCTGAAATGCATTTCATTTGGCGGTTTGCATGTTGTGGATCCATCCACGTGCTTGATCGTGTGCGTATGCTCTTATTTTGGGGGATTGGCAAAAGGGGGGGAGGGGCAGCTGTGGATAGGAGAGTTCTCACGCCCGTGCATCGATTTGGGTCAGGATGCATCGGATAGGTATAGAACTGGAGGAGAGGTTTCAGCACTCTCTCGGCGTGTAATACCCCGGTTGCCTTTGATGAGGCCAGTTGCGATCTAGTCCCGAGGCAATGTGTGTGATCTAGGTCTTGGGGTTACGGTCTTCTTTCGCTTGGTCGCCAGGAACGGAATTCGGGCTCAGTGGTCTGCCTCAGTGGTCTGCTCGGCCTCCAGACTATTATGATGTGGGGAAAGAGGGTTATGATGCTGTAATGCCTATACAACGTTGTACGACGATTCATCGGATCCGACCTTGACAGATTGCGGATCAGTTATGCCATTGTGCGTGTGTGTGTGTGTGTCTGTGTATGTTTAGAGTGTATTTTTAAAGGTTACAAGTATCTGCGAGGCAATTGATCTGCCTGCTATAATTTTTCATCATCCAGTCATCCGCAGAGGCAGGCAGAGCTTCGGCTAATGCCACCAATCCAGCGTGCTAATCACTTACACTCCCGACAATGTCGAAGATCTGCTCTTAGGAAATCGAACCCAGAACCCTAAACCGCATAATGCAATAGTATCTGCACGACAGACCAGATCAGAGCGGCAAGTTCGTATGGCGTAGTACAGTGTAGTAATGGTGGATGGTTCTGTCAGGTGATGAATTGAGGAAATAACCAACATGTTAGATTGGCCCAGAAGCCTTCCACTCGTGTAATAACAAGAAATACAACAAGGCCGTGGAGGCCAGAAAGAGATATGTGGAGGTACGGAGGACACAGAGGGCAGCGGAGAGAACCTAACCACGGAGAGCTGCAAACTGGCAGCCAGGCCCCGCCCTCCGACGGCACACAAGTCCCGTGCCTGTGCCTGCAACTGCCACACCCAGCGAGCAGCCGCCCTGCAATGCCGGCAACACCTGACCATCCACAGCCCAGCGTCAATGCAGGGGGAAGATGAGGAGGAAGAATGCCTGCCGCAATGGAAGGATAGACATCAACGGCAATCTACAGATGCAGTACATGGCTCAGAACAGATCCATCCGTCTCCCAGCAAGCGGGAGATGTTTGGGGACAGGAACCCCCATATGGACCACTGTCGTCACGGCCAGAGAAAAGCATGCAGGCAAAACAAGAATAGTCATCAACGGCAATATACAGATGCAGTACATGGCTCAGAACAGATCCATCCGTCTCCCAGCAAGCGGGAGATGTTTGGGGACAGGAACCCCCATATGGACCACTGTCGTCACGGCCAGAGAAAAGCATGCAGGCAAAACAAGAATAGTCATCAACGGCAATATACAGATGCAGTACATGGCTCAGAACAGATCCATCCGTCTCCCAGCAAGCGGGAGATGTTTGGGGACAGGAACCCCCATATGGACCACTGTCGTCACGGCCAGAGAAAAGCATGCAGGCAAAACAGAGATTGTCATCAACGGCAATATACAGATTCAGTACATGGCTCAGAACAGATCCATCCGTCTCCCAGCAAGCGGGAGATGTTTGGGGACAGGAACCCCCATATGGACCACTGTCGTCACGGCCAGAGAAAAGCATGCAGGCAAAACAGGGATTGTCATCAACGGCAATATACAGATGCAGTACATGGCTCAGAACAGATCCATCCGTCTCCCAGCAAGCGGGAGATGTTTGGGGACAGGAACCCCCATATGGACCACTGTCGTCACGGCCAGAGAAAAGCATGCAGGCAAAACAGAGATTGTCATCAACGGCAATATACAGATTCAGTACATGGCTCAGAACAGATCCATCCGTCTCCCAGCAAGCGGGAGATGTTTGGGGACAGGAACCCCCATATGGACCACTGTCGTCACGGCCAGAGAACAGCATGCAGGCAAAACAGAGATTGTCATCAAGCAATATACAGATGCAGTACATGGCTCAGAACAGATCCATCCGTCTCCCAGCAAGCGGGAGATGTTTGGGGACAGGAACCCCATATGGACCACTGTCGTCACGGCCAGAGAACAGCATGCAGGCAAAACAAGAATTGTCATCAACGGCAATATACAGATGCAGTACATGGCTCAGAACAGATCCATCCGTCTCCCAGCAAGCGGGAGATGTTTGGGGACAGGAACCCCCATATGGACCACTGTCGTCACGGCCAGAGAACAGCATGCAGGCAAAACAGGGATTGTCATCAACGGCAATCTACAGATGCAGTACATGGCTCAGAACAGATCCATCCGTCTCCCAGCAAGCGGGAGATGTTTGGGGACAGGAACCCCCATATGGACCACTGTCGTCACGGCCAGAGAACAGCATGCAGGCAAAACAGGGATTGTCATCAACGGCAATATACAGATGCAGTACATGGCTCAGAACAGATCCATCCGTCTCCCAGCAAGCGGGAGATGTTTGGGGACAGGAACCCCCATATGGACCACTGTCGTCACGGCCAGAGAACAGCATGCAGGCAAAACAGGGATTGTCATCAACGGCAATCTACAGATGCAGTACATGGCTCAGAACAGATCCATCCGTCTCCCAGCAAGCGGGAGATGTTTGGGGACAGGAACCCCCATATGGACCACTGTCGTCACGGCCAGAGAACAGCATGCAGGCAAAACAGAGATTGTCATCAACGGCAATCTACAGATGCAGTACATGGCTCAGAACAGATCCATCCGTCTCCCAGCAAGCGGGAGATGTTTGGGGACAGGAACCCCCATATGGACCACTGTCGTCACGGCCAGAGAACAGCATGCAGGCAAAACAAGAATAGTCATCAACGGCAATATACAGATGCAGTACATGGCTCAGAACAGATCCATCCGTCTCCCAGCAAGCGGGAGATGTTTTGGGACAGGAACCCCCATATGGACCACTGTCGTCACGGCCAGAGGACAGCATGCAGGCAAAACAAGAATAGACATCAACGGCAATTTACAGATGCAGTACATGGCTCCGAACAGATCCATCCGTCTCCCAGCAAGCGGGAGATGTTTTGGGACAGGAACCCCCATATGGACCACTGTCGTCACGGCCGGAGGACAGCATGCAGGCAAAACAAGAATAGACATCAGGGCAATTTACAGATGCAGTACATGGCTCAGAACAGATCCATCCGTCTCCCAGCAAGCGGGAGATGTTTTGGGACAGGAACCCCCATATGGACCACTGTCGTCACGGCCAGAGAACAGCATGCAGGCAAAACAAGAATAGTCATCAACGGCAATTTACAGATGCAGTACATGGCTCAGAACAGATCCATCCGTCTCCCAGCAAGCGGGAGATGTTTGGGGACAGGAACCCCCATATGGACCACTGTCGTCACGGCCAGAGAACAGCATGCAGGCAAAACAGGGATTGTCATCAACGGCAATCTACAGATGCAGTACATGGCTCAGAACAGATCCATCCGTCTCCCAGCAAGCGGGAGATGTTTGGGGACAGGAACCCCCATATGGACCACTGTCGTCACGGCCAGAGAACAGCATGCAGGCAAAACAGGGATTGTCATCAACGGCAATCTACAGATGCAGTACATGGCTCAGAACAGATCCATCCGTCTCCCAGCAAGCGGGAGATGTTTGGGGACAGGAACCCCCATATGGACCACTGTCGTCACGGCCAGAGAACAGCATGCAGGCAAAACAGAGATTGTCATCAACGGCAATCTACAGATGCAGTACATGGCTCAGAACAGATCCATCCGTCTCCCAGCAAGCGGGAGATGTTTGGGGACAGGAACCCCCATATGGACCACTGTCGTCACGGCCAGAGAACAGCATGCAGGCAAAACAGGGATTGTCATCAACGGCAATCTACAGATGCAGTACATGGCTCAGAACAGATCCATCCGTCTCCCAGCAAGCGGGAGATGTTTTGGGACAGGAACCCCCATATGGACCACTGTCGTCACGGCCAGAGAACAGCATGCAGGCAAAACAAGAATAGACATCAACGGCAATTTACAGATGCAGTACATGGCTCAGAACAGATCCATCCGTCTCCCAGCAAGCGGGAGATGTTTGGGGACAGGAACCCCCATATGGACCACTGTCGTCACGGCCAGAGAACAGCATGCAGGCAAAACAGGGATTGTCATCAACGGCAATCTACAGATGCAGTACATGGCTCAGAACAGATCCATCCGTCTCCCAGCAAGCGGGAGATGTTTGGGGACAGGAACCCCCATATGGACCACTGTCGTCACGGCCAGAGAACAGCATGCAGGCAAAACAGAGATTGTCATCAACGGCAATCTACAGATGCAGTACATGGCTCAGAACAGATCCATCCGTCTCCCAGCAAGCGGGAGATGTTTGGGGACAGGAACCCCCATATGGACCATTGTCGTCACGGCCAGAGAAAAGCATGCAGGCAAAACAGGGATTGTCATCAACGGCAATGTACAGATGCAGTACATGGCTCAGAACAGATCCATCCGTCTCCCAGCAAGCGGGAGATGTTTGGGGACAGGAACCCCCATATGGACCATTGTCGTCACGGCCAGAGAACAGCATGCAGGCAAAACAGGGATTGTCATCAACGGCAATCTACAGATGCAGTACATGGCTCAGAACAGATCCATCCGTCTCCCAGCAAGCGGGAGATGTTTGGGGACAGGAACCCCCATATGGACCATTGTCGTCACGGCCAGAGAAAAGCATGCAGGCAAAACAGGGATTGTCATCAACGGCAATCTACAGATGCAGTACATGGCTCAGAACAGATCCATCCGTCTCCCAGCAAGCGGGAGATGTTTGGGGACAGGAACCCCCATATGGACCATTGTCGTCACGGCCAGAGAACAGCATGCAGGCAAAACAGGGATTGTCATCAACGGCAACGTACAGATGCAGTACATGGCTCAGAACAGATCCATCCGTCTCCCAGCAAGCGGGAGATGTTTGGGGACAGGAACCCCCATATGGACCATTGTCGTCACGGCCAGAGAAAAGCATGCAGGCAAAACAGGGATTGTCATCAACGGCAACGTACAGATGCAGTACATGGCTCAGAACAGATCCATCCGTCTCCCAGCAAGCGGGAGATGTTTGGGGACAGGAACCCCCATATGGACCATTGTCGTCACGGCCAGAGAAAAGCATGCAGGCAAAACAGGGATTGTCATCAACGGCAATCTACAGATGCAGTACATGGCTCAGAACAGATCCATCCGTCTCCCAGCAAGCGGGAGATGTTTGGGGACAGGAACCCCCATATGGACCATTGTCGTCACGGCCAGAGAAAAGCATGCAGGCAAAACAGGGATTGTCATCAACGGCAATCTACAGATGCAGTACATGGCTCAGAACAGATCCATCCGTCTCCCAGCAAGCGGGAGATGTTTGGGGACAGGAACCCCCATATGGACCATTGTCGTCACGGCCAGAGAAAAGCATGCAGGCAAAACAGGGATTGTCATCAACGGCAATCTACAGATGCAGTACATGGCTCAGAACAGATCCATCCGTCTCCCAGCAAGCGGGAGATGTTTGGGGACAGGAACCCCCATATGGACCATTGTCGTCACGGCCAGAGAACAGCATGCAGGCAAAACAGGGATTGTCATCAACGGCAACGTACAGATGCAGTACATGGCTCAGAACAGATCCATCCGTCTCCCAGCAAGCGGGAGATGTTTGGGGACAGGAACCCCCATATGGACCATTGTCGTCACGGCCAGAGAACAGCATGCAGGCAAAACAGGGATTGTCATCAACAGCAACGTACAGATGCAGTACATGGCTCAGAACAGATCCATCCGTCTCCCAGCAAGCGGGAGATGTTTGGGGACAGGAACCCCCATATGGACCATTGTCGTCACGGCCAGAGAAAAGACTGCAGGCAAAACAGGGATTGTCATCAACAGTAACGTACAGATGCAGTACATGGCTCAGAACAGATCCATCCGTCTCCCAGCAAGCGGGAGATGTTTGGGGACAGGAACCCCCATATGGACCATTGTCGTCACGGCCAGAGAACAGCATGCAGGCAAAAACAGGGATTGTCATCAACGGCAATCTACAGATGCAGTACATGGCTCAGAACAGATCCATCCGTCTCCCAGCAAGCGGGAGATGTTTGGGGACAGGAACCCCCATATGGACCATTGTCGTCACGGCCAGAGAAAAGCATGCAGGCAAAACAGGGATTGTCATCAACAGTAACGTACAGATGCAGTACATGGCTCAGAACAGATCCATCCGTCTCCCAGCAAGCGGGAGATGTTTGGGGACAGGAACCCCCATATGGACCATTGTCGTCACGGCCAGAGAACAGCATGCAGGCAAAACAGGGATTGTCATCAACAGTAACGTACAGATGCAGTACATGGCTCAGAACAGATCCATCCGTCTCCCAGCAAGCGGGAGATGTTTGGGGACAGGAACCCCCATATGGACCATTGTCGTCACGGCCAGAGAACAGCATGCAGGCAAAACAGGGATTGTCATCAACAGTAACGTACAGATGCAGTACATGGCTCAGAACAGATCCATCCGTCTCCCAGCAAGCGGGAGATGTTTGGGGACAGGAACCCCCATATGGACCATTGTCGTCACGGCCAGAGAACAGCATGCAGGCAAAACAGGGATTGTCATCAACAGTAACGTACAGATGCAGTACATGGCTCAGAACAGATCCATCCGTCTCCCAGCAAGCGGAAGATGTTTGGGGACAGGAACCCCCATATGGACCATTGTCGTCACGGCCAGAGAACAGCATGCAGGCAAAACAGGGATTGTCATCAACAGTAACGTACAGATGCAGTACATGGCTCAGAACAGATCCATCCGTCTCCCAGCAAGCGGGAGATGTTTGGGGACAGGAACCCCCATATGGACCATTGTCGTCACGGCCAGAGAACAGCATGCAGGCAAAACAGGGATTGTCATCAACAGTAACGTACAGATGCAGTACATGGCTCAGAACAGATCCATCCGTCTCCCAGCAAGCGGGAGATGTTTGGGGACAGGAACCCCCATATGGACCATTGTCGTCACGGCCAGAGAACAGCATGCAGGCAAAACAGGGATTGTCATCAACGGCAATCTACAGATGCAGTACATGGCTCAGAACAGATCCATCCGTCTCCCAGCAAGCGGGAGATGTTTGGGGACAGGAACCCCCATATGGACCATTGTCGTCACGGCCAGAGAACAGCATGCAGGCAAAACAGGGATTGTCATCAACGGCAATCTACAGATGCAGTACATGGCTCAGAACAGATCCATCCGTCTCCCAGCAAGCGGGAGATGTTTGGGGACAGGAACCCCCATATGGACCATTGTCGTCACGGCCAGAGAACAGCATGCAGGCAAAACAGGGATTGTCATCAACGGCAACCTACAGATGCAGTACATGGCTCAGAACAGATCCATCCGTCTCCCAGCAAGCGGGAGATGTTTGGGGACAGGAACCCCCATATGGACCATTGTCGTCACGGCCAGAGAACAGCATGCAGGCAAAACAGGGATTGTCATCAACAGTAACGTACAGATGCAGTACATGGCTCAGAACAGATCCATCCGTCTCCCAGCAAGCGGGAGATGTTTGGGGACAGGAACCCCCATATGGACCATTATCGTCACGGCCAGAGAACAGCATGCAGGCAAAACAGGGATTGTCATCAACGGCAATCTACAGATGCAGTACATGGCTCAGAACAGATCCATCCGTCTCCCAGCAAGCGGGAGATGTTTGGGGACAGGAACCCCCATATGGACCACTGTCGTCACGGCCAGAGAAAAGCATGCAGGCAAACCAAGAATAGACATTAACGGCAATCTACAGATGCAGTACATGGCTCAGAACAGATCCATCCGTCTCCCAGCAAGCGGGAGATGTTTGGGGACAGGAACCCCCATATGGACCACTGTCGTCACGGCCAGAGAACAGCATGCAGGTAAAACAGGGATTGTCATCAACAGTATCGTACAGATGCAGTACATGGCTCAGAACAGATCCATCCGTCTCCCAGCAAGCGGGAGATGTTTGGGGACAGGAACCCCCATATGGACCACTGTCGTCACGGCCAGAGAACAGCATGCAGGCAAAACAGGGATTGTCATCAACGGCAATCTACAGATGCAGTACATGGCTCAGAACAGATCCATCCGTCTCCCAGCAAGCGGGAGATGTTTGGGGACAGGAACCCCCATATGGACCACTGTCGTCACGGCCAGAGAACAGCATGCAGGCAAAACAAGAATTGTCATCAACGGCAATCTACAGATGCAGTACATGGCTCAGAACAGATCCATCCGTCTCCCAGCAAGCGGGAGATGTTTGGGGACAGGAACCCCCATATGGACCACTGTCGTCACGGCCAGAGAACAGCATGCAGGCAAAACAGGGATTGTCATCAACGGCAATCTACAGATGCAGTACATGGCTCAGAACAGATCCATCCGTCTCCCAGCAAGCGGGAGATGTTTGGGGACAGGAACCCCCATATGGACCACTGTCGTCACGGCCAGAGAACAGCATGCAGGCAAAACAGGGATTGTCATCAACGGCAATCTACAGATGCAGTACATGGCTCAGAACAGATCCATCCGTCTCCCAGCAAGCGGGAGATGTTTGGGGACAGGAACCCCCATATGGACCACTGTCGTCACGGCCAGAGAACAGCATGCAGGCAAAACAGGGATTGTCATCAACGGCAATCTACAGATGCAGTACATGGCTCAGAACAGATCCATCCGTCTCCCAGCAAGCGGGAGATGTTTGGGGACAGGAACCCCCATATGGACCACTGTCGTCACGGCCAGAGAACAGCATGCAGGCAAAACAAGAATTGTCATCAACGGCAATCTACAGATGCAGTACATGGCTCAGAACAGATCCATCCGTCTCCCAGCAAGCGGGAGATGTTTGGGGACAGGAACCCCCATATGGACCACTGTCGTCACGGCCAGAGAACAGCATGCAGGCAAAACAGGGATTGTCATCAACAGTAGCGTACAGATGCAGTACATGGCTCAGAACAGATCCATCCGTCTCCCAGCAAGCGGGAGATGTTTGGGGACAGGAACCCCCATATGGACCACTGTCGTCACGGCCAGAGAACAGCATGCAGGCAAAACAGGGATTGTCATCAACGGCAATATACAGATGCAGTACATGGCTCAGAACAGATCCATCCGTCTCCCAGCAAGCGGAAGATGTTTGGGGACAGGAACCCCCATATGGACCATTGTCGTCACGGCCAGAGAACAGCATGCAGGCAAAACAGGGATTGTCATCAACGGCAATCTACAGATGCAGTACATGGCTCAGAACAGATCCATCCGTCTCCCAGCAAGCGGGAGATGTTTGGGGACAGGAACCCCCATATGGACCATTATCGTCACGGCCAGAGAACAGCATGCAGGCAAAACAGGGATTGTCATCAACGGCAATCTACAGATGCAGTACATGGCTCAGAACAGATCCATCCGTCTCCCAGCAAGCGGGAGATGTTTGGGGACAGGAACCCCCATATGGACCACTATCGTCACGGCCAGAGAACAGCATGCAGGCAAAACAGGGATTGTCATCAACGGCAATCTACAGATGCAGTACATGGCTCAGAACAGATCCATCCGTCTCCCAGCAAGCGGGAGATGTTTGGGGACAGGAACCCCCATATGGACCATTATCGTCACGGCAAGAGGACATAAGGTCTAGCGAGGGTGGTAGGACGCAAGTAGGCGGCGCTAGGCACTCCACGCACACACGAAAAGGTTCAAATCACAATCACCTCAATTGAAGGGAGCAGGGAATGCATTAATCATGTATCAAGCACATTAGTATTGGACGCGCGTGGGAGTGCAGGTATGGTGCGGCCCAGGAGCCATGTCAAGGGTCAGTTCATCTGGCTTGACGGACCCGAGGGCCCTAAAAAGTTAGAAGGTTGGTGCTTCAGCGTCGATCAGTCGGGGAAAGTGTCGTCCTTCCCATTGACAGGCCTGGGCGGGCTACTTGCGCACGAATGACGTGGCGGAAATGCGCAATCTATTTATTTATCTGTACATGGCGGCAGGGCAGCGGATGGACACGCTCTCATGGCTACTCAGAAAAGTGTGTGAACGAACGTATCGTCATTGGTCTACGAATGAGCTGAGCAGCGAATTGACATTACTATGGTGCAGGGGCAACGCTGGCACGTTACGAAGAGACGTGGCACACTAGGGGTGACAGCAGCTGGTGAGCCAGAGACGCCATAACGTCTGTCCATCAGCAGAGATATCCCTAGATGAGGGACCCATAGGACTGGGGCGAAAATATCATTCATCGCTTTCTAACCCTCCACAAATTAGCAACGCCTTGGCAGCTAAAAATTCTCTTGAAAGGTTGCCTTGAGAGGTGCCTCACAGCGACTTACCAGATACTTTCTTGATAAACATCGAGACGACAGCCTTCCATGAACGGTGAAACCTTGACAACGGTGCTGATCGTGATATCATTAGCGGTGGTGGTGGCGGCAGCATCAGCACCAATACCACATGAAGGAGCGAGGGAACATGAAACCCGTAGGCTGCATCCCTAATTCATTCACAAGCAAGCGACGACATCCACAGCGGTACGACAGAGAATGCCGGTGTTGATGAACACCAGTATAACGGTGTGTCAGATTAAACAACCAGCGACCTCAGCAGGGCACGAATGCCATTCAGAAGACCGTCGTGAGATTATTACTGGCGTTTTCTCATCAACCACACGACAAGTACCACCACACATTCAACACTCAACAGAACAAACGCGCAGTCCAGCTGGAACCCCTCAGCGAAACAGTTGAAAAGCCTCAGACATCCAAGGAAGAATCAAGCGGCATCAGCTCTCAAGCCCGGCGAAGGCGAAAGCTCTAGACGGGCCCTGCGAATGGTTTTTTCTGAGAGAAGCCCTGTTTGGAAACGTCATCATCGGCCATCTAAATATAAATCAAATCAGGAAAGACACCAACAGCATCATCGTATGCCAAGACGAAGCACTCAAGCATTTGCCTCAAACCGCAACAAGGTTGCACCGTATGCACATTGCCACCTGAGGTGCCCATGAACATGACCTGCCCTAGACTGCGCGGCTTCACCAGGTAGGTTCACTCCTGCAGAGCAGAAATCTGACTACACCACAGCAGTTACAACTTGGCGTGCTTCATCATGGGCATAGATACATTTCTTCATTTGCGGCATGATGAAATCATGAAGCAGTGAAGAATGCGCTTCATGCAAAGGCTAAACTTTCATGCAGCAGCAAAAGAGGTAATAGGTTACCAACATACAGATACAGAGCACGGCTCAGAACAGATCCATCCGTCTCCCAGCAAGCAGGAGATGTTTGGGGACAGGAACCCCCATATGGACCACTGTCGTCACGGCCAGAGAACAGCATGCAGGCAAAACAGGGATTGTCATCAACAGTAACGTACAGATGCAGTACATGGCTCAGAACAGATCCATCCGTCTCCCAGCAAGCGGAAGATGTTTGGGGACAGGAACCCCCATATGGACCATTGTCGTCACGGCCAGAGAACAGCATGCAGGCAAAACAGGGATTGTCATCAACGGCAATCTACAGATGCAGTACATGGCTCAGAACAGATCCATCCATCTCCCAGCAAGCGGGAGATGTTTGGGGACAGGAACCCCCATATGGACCACTGTCGTCACGGCCAGAGGAGGACAGCTGGAAAGAAAATAAAAAAGATGAAGTAGGGAGGCGGTTGGGAAAGGGGGCCTAAGGGACATTCGTTCTCATGGCCAGAGAGTTGCAAAACACGATGTCATTTCTGAACAATGGGAAAGCCATCGGTGAGCATATGCAACGCTTAGTGCAAATGCGAAGAACCCGTTTTAAGCTCGGGTAAGAAAACCTTGGAGACCAAGATAATTACAGCCACTGCGAATCCGGATGTCCGAGTAGGCCAGAGCGCCCGGTGGAAGGAAAAGTCATTTTCTGTGTAGTAGCTTTAATCATGAGGTGTCATCAACAGCTTGAAGTTGTCGTCATAGCGCAGAAAATAGAGGAATAGGCAAGGGCTCCATGCCAAATGTTCATTTTGTGCAGGCCAGTACGTAGCAGGTGCCCATAACGTCGCGTGGTGGACAGGAAAATGATTTCAAGCCACAATACAGCCAACCATATATTGACCAACGCAGGTGTTGAATCAAGACATGTCTGGGCGCAATCGTCCCAGCCCCAAACCATGACGAAGAGCTAGGATAGCGTGCTCAATCAATAGCAGCAAGGAGATGTTGAGCTCTCGCAACCGGCCCTGTGGCTCCTCGGAACGGGTTTTCACAGCACAGAGCAAGCTGTGTAACTAGTTATGAAAGGAGCCGGACTGTCTGTATGGGGATCTGTAGACATGTCAAAACCTGGGCTGGACCGTACGTGCATGCGTGCTGCAGGATGTACTACAGCTCGAGAGTCTGAAAGCAGCAAAAGAGGGCCAAAGGATATAGGGGGTAAACATATCGGGGTTGGTATGACGCAAGCAGGGTCGCGCTGGGCACTCAAAGCATGGACGAAAAGGTTCAAATCACCTTTCATCTCAATTGAAGGGAGCAGGGAATGCATACATCAAGCGCACGTATGGTGCGGCCCAGGAGCCATGTCAAGGGTCAGTTCATCTGGCTTGACGGACCCGAGGGCCCTAAAAAGTAAGAAGGTTGGTGCTTCAGCGTCGATCAGTCGGGGAAAGTGTCGTCCTTCCCATTGACAGGCCTGGGCGGGCTACTTGTGAACGAACGACGTGGCGGAAATGCGCAATCTATTTATTTATCTGTACATGGCGGCAGGGCCGCGGATGGACACGCTCTCATGGCTACTCAGAAATGTGTTGGAACTAATGCATCGTCATCAGTCTACGAGTGAGCCGAGCAGCAAATTGACATTAATATTGTGCAGGGGCAAGGCTGGCACGTTACGAAGAGACGTGGCACACGAGGAGTGACAGCAGCTGGTGAGTCAAGAGACTCCATAACGTCTGTCCATCAGCAGAGATATCGCTAGATGAGGGACCCATAGGACTGGGGCGAAAATATCATTTACCATTTTTCTGCTGGCCGCCGCGGCCCAAATGAACCGATGCTCTATTCAGCGACAACTGCAAGGACCTCTATACAGTGAGCACAACACAACTTACCTTCTATTTCCACGTAATTAAACTTATGGACGACCGGACTTTAGCCAAAAAAGGGAACTCTGACGGCGGCCCTTGCAGCAGCAACCATCAAGGCAGCGCGCAGCATACGGAATAATGTTATGGGTTATGCTGATTATTAGTAGCAAAAGCATATCCTATGTTTTAAGGGACAAATGCTATATGGTTTTCTTACGCTCAAATTTGCCCTTTGGGGGGATTTTGTACGAATGGATTCAATCAACAGAAGAAACGGGAACTGAGTGTTCCGTGGTCATAGCATGCTTTAGCGAGGAAGTACCGTTTTCGTTTTTTCAACGGGACAATTTTCTTCTTAAGGACTCAATTTATGACAGTGGCATGACCAGTATGCAGATGATTGACTTGATTCGATCGGAATTACCGAAAGATATGTGTAAAAGCTTCTGAAAGAGCTAGAAATTTAAAGAGCGTGCAAAGCAGTCAACCCAACACGCCAAGCCGGTCCATATCCAGTAATTCCGCTATGGCAACTCGACAGCCCCTCGCGCTTAGCTTGGCAGGCTTCCAGTTTACATACCGTAATAACTACTTTGACTGGCGGCTGCTACATGGCATTGATATTGACACAGTGGTGCGTGTGGTTCAGGTCACTGCGGCTTGTGCTGTACAAGGGCCGGCATGTAGGTTGCCATTTGGGGTAAAAGCCGAGGGCGGTGGCAAGTAGTGGATTGTATAACACAAGCAAAGGTTCTTAATTGAAAAAATATTTGAGCGTTACGCTTTGCGACAGGACCGCGTTGCGCAGCACGGTTGTGACCCACATCCCTTGCATATGATTAACGAAAGCCTTTCTGCTTCCATACGCCTGCACATCCTTGTGACAAGCCACGATTTTCTTTTGTCTGGAACATTCAGGCAACATATTCAGCACGCAGCTCCCTCCTCCACTTCCTCCCTACCTCCTCACCCCACTACATACATACGGATGGACCCGGGTGTGTCGGCAGGTCGACGGAGAATCCGATATGTCCTAGAGGAACCACTCTTTCCTTTTCCTGTGCCTTGTGCGGTCCTACTGCTTGGATGCTCTGCGGTATGACCTATATTAATGCACCTGACGCTTATATTGGGAACCCCTTGCCCAGGGACGTGTTTCCGATTGCCTCCCTCGCCTGTCCGCCACCTAGCCCATGCAGGGTTTGTTGGACACATGAAACGATTTAAGGGTCATGATTTGCTGCTGTGTCCACGAAATGGTTGTACCACCCACATTCCAGAAGCCCACGTAGCTCTTGAACACAAACAATTACGCAAGGACACGCGAATCAATCCATGGGGTTTTCACCGGCTTGTAAGACGTTCCTTAAGAGACATGGATGTGCACCGCTTATTGCACCCATTTGCACGCAATCTCGTCTACATGGCCGCCCCCAACGCCATCCCAACCCATCCCAAAAATGCCAGGGCACTCACGTTTGCGTTCCACAATGACAACGTCCAGACTGGTTTCCTGGTTACACTGAACCGCGTCTTAACGCATGAATGCATATGACCTCGATCTCCTCCAATCACCACCCCTGCATCCCACCCTTCTGCACGCACCTCCAAACAGCACCACCTCCAAACAAATATTCCCCGCCCCTCCCCCCCTTCCCCCCCTCCCCCCCTCCCCGCCCCTCCTCCCGCACATCCGCAGATTCGTCTAACTGACGTTCAGGCGGTAGAGGACTGTCTGGACACCCTCCAGCGCGGCTCCTTCGCTGCGGAAAGGGACCGGCTGTCCCCCGCCAACTGCGTGCAGTTGTTCCGGCTGCTACAGCTCGCCGTAGAGTACTGCGGGCACCTGCGGGCGGCGCATGCGCTGCTGCTGGAGTGCTACAACACAGCAACTGCGGCGGCGGAGAGGTGCGGAAGGAGCAGGGCTGCGTCGGGGAAAGGCATTGTGGAGTTGGAGGGTGGGAGGGAGACGGGGCTCGGCAGAGGGGGAGGGTGGAAGGCGAGGAGGAGAGGGGATATTCCGGGTTGGATAGCTAAGAAGGGAAGCATGAGAAGGCAGAACAACAGGGTGCGAAGTGTACACTGGTGCAGGAAGGGATGCCAAGGGTGTGGAATGGGGTGGGCGTGTCGGTTTTGGAAAAGGCAAGTGCCGTGGACAGATGCCGAACGACGCCGGACCTGCCCGCTCACACACTACCCCGCCAGTACGAGTTCCAAGCTCGAGAGCCCTTTTTCTTGTCTTGGCCAGCTACCGCTATCTGATACATGTCGTCTGGCTGCCCCTTTCCTTCCATGCCTGCATAACTTGGTACATAGCATGTTCCCATCTGTCAACGTTTTTTCCTGGCATGCCTGTCTGACTCGGTGGCTTACCCCTCCCTATCCCCCACATCTTACCCTCCTTACCCTTTACCACTCTTCCACATTCCCTCATACATACATACATGCTCCCGACCCTTGCGCTGTGTTTCGGCTCCGGCCCCCGGCGCTCGCGGCCCACAGTGTATGACCCAAGTCATACATACATACATACATACATACATGCACACATGCACACACTCATATACATATACATACACGCCCCCTCCATTTATCCCCAGCTGGAAGGCCGCAGCTCGCAGCTACTTGGAGGTGGGCTCTGTCTTCGTGTCTGAGAGTGTGACGCTGGGCAGCCTCAGCCGGGGGCCGCTTGACGCCACCGATGCGGCCAAGGCGGTGCTGGAGGCGGCGGATAGGGAGTACAACCTGGCGCTGGATGCACTGGAGGCGAGTGGGAAGAGGGGAGAATGGAGAAGAGGGAATATTCGTAGGGTGGCAGGAGGTGGTGCCAAGATTGATTGTAGGTCAACTTTCAAAGTCTGAGCAGGGGAGGTCGGGGGGTAAGGTTGTGGGGAGGAGAGGGGGGCCAGTGGCCTCAGGGGCCAGGCTACGTGACTGGAAAGGAGGTGGGAATGGAGCCATCGGAGAAAGGGGGGACAGGGGGGAGAAACGGGAGTTGGATCGGACCCTGTGTGAGATTGGCGGGAAATGCCAGCGCAAGAATCCACGTTGTGGAAGTGTGTGGGTAGTGGGTGAGGGGAGGAAGGTGAAGGAAAGTGGGCGGGGGGAGCAGGCGGGGAGGTACGAAGATAGGAATGAGGTAATCGGGGGAAAAGCTCGCTGCCTGTGTGACGACCTGTGTGTGCAAGGGCGCTGGGCCTAACCCCTCCTCTCCCTGCGCCGCTCTGGCCCTACCTTCGTCCCCCCCCCTCTCCCCGTGTGTTGCCTCTTTTGACCTCAGCTGCGTTCCATTCCCTCCTTTGTTCGCCTCGTCTCCACTTTCACCTTCCCTGTCTCCTTTCCTCCTCGCCTGTTGCCCTGTTGCCCTGTCCTTGTCCCTTTCTCCTCATCATGGACCTTCAACCAGAACCCCCCCCAACGTAAGGCCACCCACAACCCTGCGTCTTGTACACTCTTTCCTTGGCAGCAGCTTCACTCGTCCGTGGTTCGTCTTCACCCCCACAACCCCCCCCCCACCCAAATATGAGCCAAGCAACAGCGGCGCCCCTTTGGCCAGTCTGGTTTTTAGTGTGCGCATGTAACCCCACACGCAACCTTCGCCCCCTGGCCCCCCGTGAGAACGCAGGCGGAGGACTCCCGGGCTCGGCACTTCCGTTTCCGCAAGCAGCGTACGGAGATCTCCTGGTCCACTCTGAACGCTGCTGACGTGGACCGCCTCGTGTCCTCCCTGGACGTGGGACTGCTCGAGGGCCTTCTGCCCAACCTCACGTACGGCAGCATTACTAACGAGGATGACGAGCAACTGACACCGCATCATTTTGGACAGCTTATTCCGCTGGGGCAGGTGGGGGGAATGTGTGGGTGTGGGTGTGGGGAAGAGGGGGGAAGTGGGACAGCAAATTGGAGCTAGGCTGGGTGTATGTATGTATGTATGTATGTACACAACCCGGGCCTTGCTTCCCCTCTCCCCCTCGGATGGCTGCCGGTATAAATATATACATGTGTGTATATATGTGTATACATGTATGTATATATGTTGTGTGTGTGTGTCGGTATGAACCTCCCCCCTCCCAGCCCCCCACCTGTCACTAGACAGCTCGCACATGGATTACGTGCGCGCACCTCCACCTCCTGATTACGGGCCGCCCGCTGTGCAAACCATGTGCGCTCTCACGCCCGCGTGTCCTTTATTTCCCAATTCCAAAACTCCTCCATCCCCCTCCACTACCACCACACACCTGCTTGTCCAGATCATCATGTGCTGCTTGTCTTGAAGCTTCCGTTCAACCCCCCACCCCCCCCACCCCCCCACCCACCCCGTTGTCATCCCTACCTGCCCGGGGGCCGCCCCCACTATCACCACCACTCGCCCCCCCACTATCACCACCACTCGCCCCCCCACTATCACCACCACTCGCCCCCCCACTATCACCACCACTCGCCCCCCCACTATCACCACCACTCGCCCCCCCACTATCACCACCACTCGCCCCCCCACTATCACCACCCGGCCGTCACCGCGCCAGGCGGCTCTGGACTACGTGCTGTGGCAGGCCAATGCCACCGGCGCGCTCATGGTGTGGTTTAACGAACTGCGCTGTTGTATGTGTATGTGTATGTATGTATGTATGTATGTATGTATGTATGTATGTATGTATGTATGTATGTATGTATGTATGTGTTTATCTGTTACATGTCGATCCGAGCCTGACGCTGGCCAGGGTGTACGTGTGTGTGCGTATGTGGTCATGTGTGTGTGGGGGGGATGTAGGTCCTGATGGCCTCCCTGAAGGGGGCCCACTCGCGCACTCAGCACCTCAGCACGGTTGCTCCTTCGGAACCCCTTGCGCGATACGCACATCAGACATGACATGAGGATGCACACGGTTGCTCCTGCGGAACCCTTTCCCCTTCTTAGAAGCTTCTAGGCGGCTTGAGACACCCGCCTTGTCCTCCTCCGCCTCCTCCGCCTCCTCCTCCGCCTCCTCCGCCTCCTCCGCCTCCTCCGCCTCCTCCTCCGCCGCCGCCTCCTCCTCCGCCTCCTCTTCCGCCGCCGCCTCCTCCTCCGCCTCCTCTTCCCCACAGGAGCAAGCAATGGCTGGTCTGCAGGCGGCGTGTGCGGACATACCCACACTCACCAGCGCCACGCAGGTGGGGGGGTGTAACTGTGTATTTTACCAAACCGCCACCACGACCACCACCACCACCACCACCACCACCCCGCATCTCTGTCCTTCCCCCCGGCCCCGGCCACACTCCTCCCTGTTGTAGCGCCTGAGTTTGGGTGTGTTTTCCGTACTCCCCCTTTCTTTTCCCCCTTCTCGCCCTCTTCTTTTCCCCCGTTTCCCCCTGCAGGAGCTGCACGCTGAAATCACCTCCCTGCTACTCGGCGGACAGCCCCAGACACAAAACCAGAACCAGATTCTAAACCAGCCCGGGCTTGGGCTTGTGGCCGGGATTATGACACCCAGCGGCGGGGGTGGGGGTGGGGCTGGCTTGCCGGATGTGGGAGGTTCGGCGGCGGCTGGTGGTGGTGGTGGTGATGTTGGTGGCCTAGGGTCCGCAGTGCCCTGGGCCTCGGCGTCGGCGGATCTGTCCCAGCAGTACGGGCAGGTGGGTCCGGGCAGGTGGGTCCGGGCAGGTGGGTCCGGGCAGGTGGGTCCGGGCAGGTGGGTCCGGGCAGGTGGGTCCGGGCAGGTGGGTCCGGGCAGGTGGGTCCGGGCAGGTGGGTCCGGGCAAGTGGGTCCGGGCAGGTGGGTCCGGGCAGGTGGGTCCGGGCAGGTGGGTCCGGGCAGGTGGGTCCGGGCAGGTGGGTCCGGGCAGGTGGGTCCGGGCAGGTGGGTCCGGGCAGGTGGGTCCGGGCAGGTGGGTCCGGGCAGGTGGGTCCGGGCAGGTGGGTCCGGGCAGGTGGGTCCGGGCAGGTGGGTCCGGGCAGGTGGGTCCGGGCAGGTGGGTCCGGGCAGGTGGGTCCGGGCAGGTGGGTCCGGGCATATAGTCGTCTAGTCGTCTAGTCGTATCAAATATGCGTATCAAATACGCAAAACCCAAAAATCAATACGTTGGGAATAATCAATACGGTCGTACTCGTCAGTACAGGCAATCCGACCCATGGGTCACAGGTACCTAAGAACACCGATCAGGGCCGCTACAGGTCCATGCAGAGCCATGCGATGTAAATAGTCAAGGGGCCATCCGTGACGGCGAATCGATAATACTCGCCTATGGCGACTAGCCTTCCTAGCACCACCGCTGAAGGCCTTCTGGCAGTAGAGAGTCTCTTTGTGAGGAAGGACGGAGGTCGCTTCATGGGGGCAAGCCTTTGCGGCTGATGGGCCGTGGTTAATAGGCGGTTCTGCCCCTCTCGTTTCCCCAACCCCTCTGCCCCTCTCCGGCCTCGTGTCCAAGATCCCGGTTCTCCTACTTCACGGCCCTCCCTTCCAGACGCAGTACGGCGGCCGGCCGGGGCTTATCTTCCAGGGTTTGACACGCACGTCCTCCCCCGCACCCCTGCGACCCGTCAGTGGGGGCCCTGGAGGAGCACCGCAGGTACGTCTGTCTGTCTGTCTATCTGTCTGTGTGTGTAGATATGTATGTATGTGGATATGTGTGTCGCATTGGATTGTTGCCATTACGCCGCTAGCTAGCCATGAAGGAAACTGAAAACAACAACGGTGCGATGGATGCGGTCTGCAGACGTGACGAATAACCCACTGTTCGGTACTTGGGCGGTGGCTCAGAAAGCAAAGAGAGGGCCTGCATGCTCACACACGCACACACGCACACGCAAACACGCGAGATGGCGGGGGGGGTTACGCTGTCATCCACAACTCTCCACTCCCTTTCCGTGACCAACCTGAGTGTGTTGTTGCTACTGCTCTGCCACCCCCAC